TTAAGCTTTTTAAAATAAAATATATGTAATCCAGAAAATAAGGCATCCTTCCATGCAGTCAGAGCTGCACCCAGTTCACAGTTGACAACCCCTCAGTTGATTCTCTGACCTGTGTTGGTGATTTCAATGGTTTTGTTAAAGGAATAGTTCACCGTTTTTACATACTGACATATGTTCTTACCTTAGACTAGTTAATACGTACCTGTCTGGTCTTAGTCCGTGCGCTCTGTCATGCAAACGGAGCAAAAACGGGAGCACAAACGCAGCCTCCTCTGGTCACTGTGTAGGACCAAAAGGTAGCTCCCGCTAGAAGCTACCAAACTCTTCCAAGTGTTCCCTATTAAATGTATATAGTTACGTGACGTGTTACACTGCAAAGTATAGTAACACAGAAATGTAACTGTCGATTTTCTCAGCGGATAAAACGGGTACTATATTGTGAGGCGTAGTAATCTGAGGAGCGCTACGTCCGCGCACTAACTTCTCTCCGGAGACTTCTCTCTCGCTCACTTCCGTCAATAGAAGCAGCGTGACTTAATGTCATTAAGTCTGGGAAGCTCAATGGGAGATTTCATTTTCCATGTTGTCTTGTTTTAAATAAAGTTATTGTGGCATTACCAATTAGCTTAGCGACTCATAGACGGACAGACGCACCTTGCTTTTATAGATACTGTAGATACATACAGCACTTGTAAAAGCAGAAAGAGAAACGGGATGTGTAAAAGAGTGTGTATATTATTCCGTTGCACTTTTATATCCTCTTTTTTTCTCGCTCTGTGTAAAGAATAGTCTTGGTATTTGTAAAGACCAATCTCCCAAAAAAGGGAAATCCACCGGTCCAAAAGTATGGTTTGTTATGCAACGCTTTCGTATTCTTTCACTCACTGCTTCTGAAACTCACTCATAATGAACCTTACAATTATAATATCCAAACAGAGCAAAGATTTTCAGGGAGGAAATCCAACACTTTTCTTTCACACATCCTCAAAGACATGTGGACGCTTTCTGGTCCCATTGACAAAGCTTTCAACTCTGGAGTGCGTACAATTGGGGTGAACTGCAAACAGCGGAGAGTCCCCCTCCTGTCCCGAGTGGGTGGTCCTCACCATGGGTTACCGTCCGGAGAGCAGAGGCACACCATACATCCTCCCAATGAGCTTCATGCTAGACTGACTTCATTTAAGCGGCGTCCTGGCAGCGACCGTGGTGTAAGTGACAGGCCGGCCGCGCTTTCTCCCAGGATTAAAGCGTGATTCAGGAGAGCGGTCCACAAAGCACTCATTCAGGGAGAAACAGCGGCCCAGTTTATCTCCGACAAGGAGCAGAGCACTGTTGGCTCAGTTTGGGGCTGATGGAGATGGATACAGGAGCGACTGGTGCAGATATGGTCAATACTGAAACAACAGGATTCTTACGCTGACCATCAAAATGTCCATACACTGCAAAAAATGATAGAATATGAGCTAGTAGTTGCTTGAGTGTTAATCATGAACACATTATGACCCGAATAAAACTGGATTCTCCAACGTGACAAAGCCATTTAGTCTGAATTCATGAACTGTGGCTTTATTTTCTCATTCCAAGGGAGACATATCTTGTATATTTTCCTCTCAACAAGAAGGTCCTGGGTTCGAATCCCGGTCGGACCAGGGCCTTTCTGAGTGGAGTTTTCATGTTCTCCCCGTGTCTGCGTAGGTTTCCTCCGGGTACTCCGGTTTCCCCTACCACTAAAAATATGTCCAATAGTTCTGGCATGTGCCTCCTGTACTGGCCCCGCTCCCATCTCTGTGTGGAGTGAGAGACAAATGCCCAAAATTAACAATTGTAAACCGCTTTGAGACTCAGATCTGCAGTGAAAAGGCGGTAAATAAATAAAGATTACTTACTACTTACTAAATAAAGATTACATAAGGCTGAGTCAGAATGTGCTCCGATTAAGATACATTTTGCCAAATTTGAGCAATTTTTGACTTATTTTCCATCACTTTTTGCAGTGTGTACGTTTTTGCTCTTCAGAACTAGATACTTTTTCTGTATCTATTTGTACTTTTTTCTATGGCATTACTTTTCTATAAATACCTTTTTTTTATGTAATATGTTCAGATTCAGGGTATTTGTCATTTGCAGTAAAACCACATTGGAATACATGTGCAAAGGTCCCCAGTGTGCACCAGATAAGCACATCAATAAAAAAAATTCTATTCAGGTTTTGTTGCTTAGTAACTGACTTTTTATGGCAGTTAAACCCAGTTTGTCAAGGTGCTGATCCTTCAGAACTATTTTTTCTATGCTTGTTCATTATTTATTATTTAAGTTCTATCTTAAGATACTACTTTTTCCTGGTCGTGGTCCTGGACTTGTTCTGGTTCTTTGCACCAGAAAAGAGCCTCGTTTCCATAGCAACTCACTATTTACCTCCAGCAGTTAGCATTTGGTCTTTAGCATTAGCCTCAAGTTATATTCGCTGATTTTTGCACTTAGTAAAAGTGAGTAAAGGTGAAAAATGTTTTTATAAAAATGGTGGAACACTAAACTTTCTCTGAATTCCAGTGGTTTGAAAGGGAGCAGTCAGAAGTTGCATGAATCTGGACGTCTTTCTGTTTAAAAAAAACCTGCAAAACACCTTGTTTCATCCAAACCCAAACTTCCCCGTCACTGCTTCATGTCTTTCCAAAAACAAATGTATCGTGTCGTTCTATACAATAAAATCAACTCCACCCACAGTCAGCTGTTGTGGTAATAGTCACTTCTTCTTTGGGACTAATTATGTGAAAGTTAATTCATTCTTCACTCGTGTGCAATAATGTCATTTTTATCCCTTTTTTTGCCGTACAAAAAACCATTGTGTTGATGATAAGTCACTCTCCACATTGTCAACATTGTCACACATAAAAAAGTCATCAAATGTGTTTAACAGACAACACAATAATCTCTAATTAACAATAATCGCCTCCTCGTTAACATTTCACATTTGGCTCCTAAACTACGTCTCTGTTAAAGCCACAAAGACCAGACCCAGCTTAAATAAAAAGCAAACAAACACACTCTTTCTTGGCTCTTGCTGCCGATGGAATGATTTCACAAAGATACTCAATTACTTTGTGCCTTTTGAAATGCGAGCAAACAGTTAGCGGGGCTTTGTGAGTGTATTAGTGCTCCTGGTTTTCTCCCGCAGTCTTTGAAGTAGCATTTCCTCACGCGGGGGGCGCAGGCAGACTGAGTGGGCCTAATCTGCTCTTGTACATGTGAATGTGCTGCTAAAGAACCAGGTGCAGCCCAGTGGGAGAGCACATGTGTGAGAGAGCACACAGGCGGCCAGGGGTCAAGTGGAAGTGGTTTAGGAAGGGCCTGGAGAGACCATGGAGAGACCATGGAGAGACCATGGAGAGACCATGGAGAGACCATGAAGACACCATGGAGAGACCATGGAGAGACCATGAAGACACCATGGAGACACCATGGAGAGACCATGGAGTTACCATGGAGAGACCATGGAGAGACCATGGAGACACCATGGAGAGACCATGGAGAGACCATGGAGAGACCATGGAGAGACCATGGAGAGACCATGGAGACACCATGGAGAGACCATGGAGAGACCATGGAGACACCATGGAGAGACCATGGAGACACCATGGAGAGACCATGGAGAGACCATGGAGAGACCATGGAGAGACAAACAAAGCAGAGAACCATTCACTGTTGTTTCATTCTGACATTTACATCAGACTTCTGTCATAGCAGAGTTTCTCCACAAGGGACACCAGAACCAGAAACACCAGGACCAGAAACAACAGGACCAGAAACACCAGGACCAGAAACAACGGAACCAGAAACACCAGAACCAGAAACAACAGGACCAGAAACACCAGGACCAGAAACAACGGGACCAGAAACACCAGGACCAGAAACAACGGGGCCAGAAACACCAGGACCAGAGAACCCAGGACCAGCGACACCAGGACCAGCGTCATTGTGTAGTGAAGAAACCAACTTCATGTATGACGTGGAGAGAGGGAGCATGGACACGAGGGTTTGTTTATCCAGAGTTTGAAAGTGATGAATATTCTTTAAAAATGCACCGGCATCACCTGGATCTGTAAATGTAAACTTGAATAAACACAAGAAACTATTCTATGTAAATGTGGAATATTATGACAAACATTAGCATCTACAGAGACAGCAGGTTGAACCAGTTGAGTTTTATATGAATGTTAATTGCCTGTTATGGCTTTAGGGCCCCCCAGGGGGCGCTGGACCACACTTTGGAAAGAACTGGACTATAGTCCAATAACAATCAAGATCCATTTTAACCAGAGACTTGCTCAAAATGTAAACTTTATCCAGACCATCTGTGTTTGCATCGATGTAGGTTCATTCTTCCCACGTTAATGAGATGTTGTTGATCTATGTTCGCTAAGATTAGGAGACGCCCTGGAACGCCCTGAAGCAGGTTTCAGATTTTGGGACCAGAGGTCTGGGACCAAAGGTCTGGGACCAGAGGTCTGGGACCAGAGGTCTGGGACCAGAGGTCTGGGACCAGAGGTCTGGGACCAGAGGTCTGGGTCCAGAGGTCTGGGACCAGAGGTCTGGGACCAGCAGAGAGGAGAAGTGCTGTTGTTTGGAGCCGTCTGTGTTCTTTGTAAACTGTGACTTAAGTCGAGGCTCTAAAACTTTGGTTCATTGAAACTTTGGTCGTTAACTTCTCTTTGTCTTTGCCACAAAAGAAAGTGCTGCTCGAGATCTTTCTTCACATTTCATCATTCTGTACTTTGTCTAATGAGAAACGCACTTTGTCCAAGACTTTCCAATTGAACAGTCAAACTTTATGTTCAGTTATGTTCAGCAAGAAATTTTGGAAGCCACCAACTCTGATGTTTGATGAAGCTAATTATGAAATATGCAAAATATTTCTTTTATTTTACATTTTAGCCAAAGCTCCTCCACTTGAGCTAAAATAATTATAGCTGGAGGAGGCAGTAAACCTTGAAAGCTTGTTAATGACAGAACATTACATCACCCACAGAGTCTCCCCAGAGGATGAGGATCTTCAGCCTCAGACGGCAGCAGGGGGGGGGGGGGGGGGGGGGGGGGGGCGCTCTGCAGGGGCCGCTCCAGGTCAGTCAGAGAATTACGACACAGAGACATTAATACTTATCCTTAGAATAAAATGTGTTTTCTACAGAAATCTGAGTTCGATCTCTGCCCAAGGAAGCAGATCCCTCTCCCAATATGGGCCTCCCTGTCTTTCCTTGCAGAAGCAGTGGTCGGAGGACAGTGAAAATCCGGGACATTTAAGGACATTTATGGAGATTTACTGACATTTAAGCCGTGGTTAGAAAGGTTGGGGAATCCTGGTCTAGTGAATGTGTTCCATCTTGCTCCTCCACAGTGACCTCCAGACCACACCGAGCCGAGCAGGAGTCACAACATAACAGTATAGTCTGGGGTCCTGGCGCTGCACAGTAGGAGACAAAGCCTTTGTCACCTTTTTGTGTCTGACTTCCTGAGGTGACCAGTGTGAGCGAGGCCATCCACAGCTGCCCTCCTGCTTCTGATCCGCCGCTGTTGACTTCCTGAGATTTGAATGAATTACTTGCTTCAGAAGAGAAAGTGGCCCTTCAGAGCTGCAGTCTTTCTTCACAAACTGCCCCACGGACTCGCCGGGCTTTCCCATCGAGAACAATCGTACCGGGGATTGAGGCTCCGAGCTGCGTCCCATTCGGAACCATTCAAAACAGCTATAGGGAGGTGGGTGACTTAACATAAATTAGACCACCAGGGAGCAGGCATCTGGAGGCGAAGGGCACAGTCTCTTACACAAACGCACGGCGAAGAGAGCTCCGGGAAGAGAAACGAAAGCACTGTATATGTCACGAACATCCAACAGCCCCTGGACACGAGTGGGAGATCCTCTTTCTAATAATAACCCCCAGAGATTTTGTAGGTTTTGCTGCTGTATGTGTGTCCTCAACGCAGGGGGAGGACTGAGAGAAAGATCAAAACAATAATACGTTTTGACTAAAGCGTGAGGACCTAACCCTATCACTGAGCAGTTTCAGTGACAGACTGATCCACCCTCGCCAGGTGAAGGAGAGGTTCCACAGGTCTTTCCTTCCTGCTGCTGTCAGACTGTACAATGAACAATAAAGACTGACAAACACTGCCGACCTGACCTCACACGTCATCTGTTCGTCTGTGCAATATCAGAATGTGCAATACAGAACCACATGTGTACACTGTCACTTTAATGGGTCACTTTGTCCCGTAGTCTCAGGCAGTACAGATGTAAACAAACAGCTGTATATTTCTTGCACATGAATATCCATTATTTTATGCTTCTTTATTGTAGCAACAACATCTGGAGATGTGACGCTGCTCTGCGGCGACCACTGCTTCTGATGGAGGCCCTGGAGGCATTGATGGATGGGTCAAATGCAGAGGACAGATTTCCGTACGGGGACAGTAAAGTAGAACTAACTCGAGATTTTATACTTGCTTCGTTACTACATCTAAAGAAAAGAAACTCACATCAATCGATCACATTTTATTTATAAACCAATGTCCCTTGTGGATCAATAAACTCTGTCTAAGTCTAAATTAATCAAGTTGATCTTTTACTTTTGAATGTTCTGGAAAACAGCAGCAGGTCCTGAGTGTTTCTGAAACAGCTGTTGTTTTGTGCTTTAGACATTTTATTTTTCTTGCTTTTTTTCTGCCTGAGATGTTCCTGCAGTTCAGTGTTCATGGTTTTACACTGGTCCAGACCAGAGCAGAGGATTCATGGTTTTACACTGGTCCAGACCAGAGCAGAGGATTCATGGTTTTACACTGGTCCAGACCAGAGCAGAGGATTCATGGTTTTACACTGGTCCAAACCAGAGCAGAGGGGATTCATGGTTTTACACTGGTCCAGACCAGAGCAGAGGATTCATGGTTTTACACTGGTCCAGACCAGAGCAGAGGATTCATGGTTTTACACTGGTCCAGACCAGAGCAGAGGATTCATGGTTTTACACTGGTCCAGACCAGAGCAGAGGGGATTCATGGTTTTACACTGGTCCAGACCAGAGCAGAGGATTCATGGTTTTACACTGGTCCAGACCAGAGCAGAGGGGATTCATGGTTTTACACTGGTCCAGACCAGAGCAAAGAGGATTCATGGTTTTACACTGGTCCAGACCAGAGCAAAGAGGATTCATGGTTTTACACTGGTCCAGACCAGAGCAGAGAGGATTCATGGTTTTACACTGGTCCAGACCAGAGCAGAGAGGATTCATGGTCCGAACCAAGTGGATCAGGTGAAAATCCTCTGGAGGAATGCTAACTTTTGAAAAATCTATCTTATCTTATCTTAAGGAGATCCTGGGTTTGATTCCTCTTCCAAACCTTGCTGTCTGGAGTTTGCATGTTCTCCCTGTGTCTGAGTAGGTTTCCTCCAGGTGCTCCGGTTTCCCCTACCACTAAAAACACACAATAAGTATCTGTGTGATACTTTTTTAAATGTTAAAAATTCTTGTCCAGACTTGCCTTTTCTTGTAAAACTGGCCGATCGTTTTTACAACGGTTTTTCTAGTTTACATCAGAACGTTATTCACAGTTTTGAATAAGCTGCAGATGTAAGAAAGCCCAATAGCATTCTGTGACAATTACATGGACATGTTTTTCAGAATGGTTGGAGGCGCAGGAGGCAGGTGTAGTCGCACTTTCATAACCAGTAGATAGATTTATAGATGAACTACACGTCAAAAGGTGAGACTGAGGCATGAAACCAGAGACCTTAAACTAGTCCATACAAGAAAGGGTCACACTTTAGTTTAGCCCTCACTAATGAACAGATAATTAAATGCTAATTAGGGTATAATGCATGGTTAATTAGCTCTTAATGGTATTTTTTTAGCACTTATTAGTCCTTATTCTACATGGCCTTATTCAACATCTAACTAACCACTAACTGACACTTTCCCACGTGGGTTACGGCTCTGATCCACTAATTAGCACTTAATTAGCTGTTAATTAGTGAAGGCTAAGCTAAGAGGGATACGACCAAGGTTCATCGTGACCTTTAAGATCTGATCTCTTGATTAATATGTCTGTTATGTTTGTCCCAAGTCCATTTTGTGAAGGTCAGAGTCCAGAGATATTCTAATTTTTCATGTAATTTAAAGAACATATTCAGAAGTAGGGGGCGACAGTGGCTCAGTTGGTAGAGCATTGGGGCTGGAAGGTCGTAGGTTCGCGCCCATCACAGGACCTACTCCAACTGCTCCCACTCATGTCGTGTGGGTCTCGTGTCTATGAGCAAGACACTTACCCCTGCATTGCCTGAAGCTCCCGCTGAAACACCAAGGTTGTGGCACCACTGATGTAGCAGCCATCTTCCTGTGGACCCACCCCCTGCAGAGGATCAGAGGGACTGGTGCTATGAGCGTTGGGTGCAGCTCTCATTGCCAACCCCCCTGACCCAGAAATGGACTAACAAAGGGGTAGAAAATGAATGAATGAATGAATGAACATTTAGAAGTAAGTGTGGAATAGTTTATGTATGCATACCACAGTTGCATGATGATCTTGTATGTGCCCTGGAATGTCTGCTCGAGTGCTTATTCCACCCTCTCTGTAATCTTTTTTTAGTAAGTAATCTTTTATTTATATACCGCCTTTTCACTGCAGATCTGAGTCTCAAAGCGGTTTACAATTGTTAATTTTGGGCAATTGTCTTTCACTCCACACAGAGATGGGAGCGGGGCCAGTACAGGAAGCACATGCCAGAACTATTGTACATATTTTTAGTGGTAGGGGAAACCGGAGTACCCGGAGGAAACCTACGCAGACACAGGGAGAACATGCAAACTCCACTCTCTGCTCTGGCACCCTATCTCAGTTGTGTGTTTACATGTTCACAGAGGCAGCCGCTAATGACATGTGATCCGCTACAGCTCTTCTTCTTCTGTGACTGAGACTTTTGCATTCTAGCCCCGTCCCCCAGTGTGGCCAGCGCTCCGAGGGCCCTTCACGGTGATGAAGTGTCCGGGACGCACAGGCTACCAGCGGCTGCTAATTAACCCTGCTTTGTGTGGGCTAACAAAGAAACAATGGAAGAAAGTGGATGTGAATGCGGGAGATTATCCGAATGAGAATAGGCGTGCCGTGGATCATGCTCTCAGCGGGATTTTCACACCGGCCTCGACAACGTGAGATCACATCAAAGACATCGGGGACCGGGACAAGTGCATTCACACTTGTCGTGCACTAGCCTCCTCCTGTACCACACACGCCGCACACTTGCACCAGTGTGTGTGTATAATGCAGATGTTGTGTGTATGTTTGTGTCTGTGTCTCTGTGTCTCTCTGTGTCTGTCTCTGTCTGTCTCTGTGTGTCTCTGTGTGTCTCTGTGTGTCTCTGTGTGTCTCTGTGTGTCTCTGTGTCTCTCTGTGTCTGTCTCTGTCTGTCTCTGTGTGTCTCTGTGTCTCTGTGTCTCTCTGTGTCTGTCTCTGTCTGTCTCTGTGTGTCTCTGTGTGTCTCTGTGTGTCTCTGTGTGTCTCTGTGTGTCTATGTGTGTCTCTGTGTGTCTCTGTGTGTCTCTGTGTGTCTCTGTGTGTCTCTGTGTGTCTCCGTGTGTCTCTCTGTGTCTCTGTGTCTATGTGTCTATGTGTCTCTGTGTCTATGTGTCTCTCTGTGTCTCTCTGTGTCTCTCTGTGTCTCTGTGTCTATGTGTCTGTGTCTATGTGTCTCTCTGTCTCTGTGTCTCTGTGTCTCTGTGTCTCTGTGTCTCTGTGTCTATGTGTCTCTGTGTCTATGTGTCTCTGTGTCTCTGTGTCTCTGTGTCTCTGTCTCTCTGTGTCTCTGTGTCTCTGTGTCTCTGTGTCTATGTGTCTATGTGTCTCTGTGTCTCTGTGTCTCTGTGTCTATGTGTCTATGTGTCTCTGTGTCTCTGTGTCTCTGTGTCTCTGTGTCTCTGTCTCTCTGTGTCTCTGTGTCTATGTGTCTCTGTGTCTCTGTGTCTCTGTGTCTCTGTGTCTCTGTCTCTCTGTGTCTCTGTGTCTCTCTGTGTCTCTCTGTGTGTCTCTGTGTCTATGTGTCTCTGTGTCTCTGTGTCTCTGTGTCTCTGTGTCTCTGTGTCTCTGTCTCTCTGTGTCTCTGTGTCTCTCTGTGTCTCTCTGTGTGTCTCTGTGTCTCTGTGTCTATGTGTCTATGTGTCTCTGTGTCTATGTGTCTCTGTGTCTCTGTGTCTCTCTGTGTCTCTCTCTGTGTCTCTGTGTCTATGTGTCTATGTGTCTCTGTGTCTCTGTGTCTATGTGTCTATGTGTCTCTGTGTCTCTGTGTCTCTGTGTCTATGTGTCTATGTGTCTATGTGTCTCTGTGTCTCTGTGTCTCTGTGTCTCTGTGTCTCTGTCTCTCTGTGTCTCTGTGTCTATGTGTCTCTGTGTCTCTGTGTCTCTGTGTCTCTGTGTCTCTGTCTCTCTGTGTCTCTGTGTCTCTCTGTGTCTCTCTGTGTGTCTCTGTGTCTATGTGTCTCTGTGTCTCTGTGTCTCTGTGTCTCTGTGTCTCTGTGTCTATGTGTCTATGTGTCTCTGTGTCTCTGTGTCTCTGTGTCTCTGTGTCTCTGTCTCTCTGTGTCTCTGTGTCTATGTGTCTCTGTGTCTCTGTGTCTCTGTGTCTCTGTGTCTCTGTCTCTCTGTGTCTCTGTGTCTCTCTGTGTCTCTCTGTGTGTCTCTGTGTCTATGTGTCTCTGTGTCTATGTGTCTCTGTGTCTCTGTGTCTCTGTGTCTCTGTGTCTCTGTGTCTCTGTCTCTCTGTGTCTCTGTGTCTCTCTGTGTCTCTCTGTGTGTCTCTGTGTCTCTGTGTCTATGTGTCTATGTGTCTCTGTGTCTATGTGTCTCTGTGTCTCTGTGTCTCTCTGTGTCTCTCTCTGTGTCTCTGTGTCTATGTGTCTATGTGTCTATGTGTCTCTGTGTCTCTGTGTCTCTGTGTCTCTGTGTCTCTGTGTCTATGTGTCTATGTGTCTATGTGTCTATGTGTCTATGTGTCTCTGTGTCTCTGTGTCTCTGTGTCTCTGTGTCTCTGTCTCTCTGTGTCTCTGTGTCTATGTGTCTATGTGTCTATGTGTCTCTGTGTCTATGTGTCTCTGTGTCTCTGTGTCTCTGTGTCTCTGTCTCTCTGTGTCTCTGTGTCTCTGTGTCTCTCTGTGTCTCTCTGTGTCTCTCTGTGTGTCTCTGTGTCTCTGTGTCTCTGTGTCTCTGTGTCTCTGTGTCTCTGTCTCTCTGTGTCTCTGTGTCTCTCTGTGTCTCTGTGTGTCTCTGTGTCTCTGTGTCTATGTCTCTCTGTGTCTCTGTGTCTCTGTGTCTCTGTGTCTCTGTGTCTCTGTCTCTCTGTGTCTCTGTGTCTCTCTGTGTCTCTCTCTGTGTCTATGTGTCTCTGTGTCTATGTGTCTCTGCGTCTCTGTGTCTCTGTGTCTCTGTGTCTCTATGTCTCTGTGTCGTCCAAATGAAATAATTGCACATAATTATTAATGAGGACGGTAACACTTTAGATTAGCCCTCACTTAGCAGATAATCAAGCGCTAATCAGTGCACCCCAAACCCACATGGGAAAGTGTCAGTTATTTAGATGTTGAATAAGGACTAATATGTGCTTCATAAACCCCAATTAAGAGCAAATTAACCGTAATTCAAACACTAAATAGCCGTTAATTATCTGTTATTCAGTGAGGGCTAAAGTATAGTGTGACCGTGATGAGTTATTGGTGAATACTTCTATAACCCTGACTCTAAATGACAAAAGCTGCCTGCCCTATAGCAAATCTTCTGCAAGTAAGTAATTCAAGTTTATTTATACAGCGCCTTTCACAGACCAGGATCACAAAGCGCTTCACAATTAAAAACATACAAGTTAGTTCCTAAAAAAGTAAAAAATTGTCCATTGCCTCAAGCATGCACAGAGCTGTCAGAAGTTTACTGATGCTTTGTAGCTAATTTATAAAGTTATTCACTCACTGAAAGCACGTTTTTGCCTTAGTTTGAACCAACTGGCCTTTGTGCTCCGTGTCATGAAGCAGTCCGTCAAAGAGATGTCAACATTTGTCCAAATCTAAGCCAGGAATGCAGGAAGAGCGAGACCTTCTGACCGCTGCGAAGGCTGATTAGGGCTGGGCGATAACACAATAACAACAATGTATATGGCGATAGACTCGTGTTTGATATCAATAGAAAACAGGGTCGATAGAAAGTTCAATAGTTTAGATAAGATGAACCTTTATCAGTCTCACAGTGGAGAAATGTCGGTGTCATCGTTGTGCACATTACAGCAGAGAAAGGAAATAAGAGCACTCAGATTGCACTCAAATTAACTTCACTCCGTTAGAAAAACAGGAAGTAAAGCCGAGTTAGAAGCGTGCGGCATTCTGGGGGATGTAGGCAGAGGCTTCTCGACCAATCACAGCTGAGCAGGAACCGCAAAACATTCTGGGAAATGCGAAAACAACAACTGCACCATGTGTAGCGTCCATGGATCTATGGATTGTTTTCCAAAGCCGTGTCAATAGTTATGCACGTTGGTGTGAGTGTGAACTGTGCGGCGGCAGAGGCAGTGGACACAGAGACCTGATGCAGACACAGAGACCTGATGCAGACACAGAGACCTGATGCAGACACAGAGACCTGATGCAGACACAGAGACCTGATGCAGACACAGAGACCTGATGCAGACACAGACACCTGATGCAGACACAGACACCTGATGCAGACACAGAGACCTGATACAGACACAGAGACCTGATGCAGACACAGAGACCTGATGCAGACACAGAGACCTGATGCAGACACAGACACCTGATGCAGACACAGACACCTGATGCAGACACAGAGACCTGATACAGACACAGAGACCTGATGCAGACACAGAGACCTGATGCAGACACAGAGACCTGATGCAGACACAGAGACCTGATGCAGACACAGAGACCTGATACAGACACAGAGACCTGATGCAGACACAGAGACCTGATGCAGACACAGAGACCTGATGCAGACACAGAGACCTGATGCAGACACAGAGACCTGATGCAGACACAGAGACCTGATGCATGTGGCGAAGGCAAGAGATGAACTTTTTCCTCTGGAAGCTCTCTGAGAGGTGCACAGAGCCGTGCACAGAGACACTCGAAAACAGCCAAAACAGGACTAAACGAGGACTAAACCAGGGTTAAACCAGGTTAAATCAGGACTAAACCAGGGTTAAACCAGGACTAAACCAGGACTAAACCAGGGTTAAACCAGCACTAACAATGGCGGACCTCATTCCCCCGTGACTGCTAACGTGTGTTAGCGACACAACAAATCCGTTTATTTAGGTTTTGTTATCGACCGATATGAATTATTTATATTGTGATACAGTTTTCATCCATATCGCCCAGCCCTAATGCTGATGTTTTCATTGCAACTGTTTCATTGTTATTTTCAGACAGAATGAAGACATTATCTGACTATATGCATCACAGCAAAACACAGGTGTTAGCGAGTCCAAACTGCAGGGACACAGTGCGGACGTCTCGAGGGCCGGAGTCATTCATATCTCTGTTCTTCTGCACATTGAGACACATCGTATATAAAAAGCTTTGTCTTCTTTAGTTCTATCTGGAAGAACTGTAAGGGACATCCATTTATTTGCATTTGAATAGTGTTTCCATATTTGCTTTCTGATCTCATCTCCCCGTCATACAGAAACGTCAGGACATGGCCAGAGTTCACAGATAATTCCGACCGCTCACTCACTTTTTTGTCCCAGAGACAAAATGTGTCCAAAACAACACAGGTTGGGTTCCTCATCGCACTCACCTGCAGAGCGCCACACCTGGTCTACAGTCCAGCAATCACCAAATGCAGCACAAAAACCAGCCTGACCTTGTCTCTGGTGCCAGATTGTTCCGTCACACCAGCGGTGACTCAACCTTCGGCTTGTCCTGTACCTCTTAGTGTCATTTTGTCAGTACCATCATTTTCAGTCCTGTCCTGGTCCTGTCATTGGTCAGTCTCTTACCTCCTCTCCGTCGTCCTCTGTCCTGGTCCCGTCCTGGTCCCGTCTTGGTCCCGCCCTGGTCCTTCCCTGGTCCCATCTTGGTCCCGTCTTGGTCCCGTCCTGGTCCTGTCCTGGTCCCGTCCTGGTGCAGGTCCTGGTCCCGTCCTGGTCCCGTCCTGGTCCCGTCCTGGTCCCGTCCTGGTCCCGTCCTGGTCCCGTCCTAGTCCCGTCCTGGTCCCGTCCTGGTCCAGGTCCTGGTCCCGTCCTGGTCCCGCCCTGGTCCTTCCCTGGTCCCATCTTGGTCCCGTCCTGGTCCCGTCCTGGTCCCGTCCTGGTCCCGTCCTGGTGCAGGTCCTGGTCCCGTCCTGGTCCAGGTCCTGGTCCCGTCCTGGTCCCGGTCCTGGTCCCGTCCTGGTCCCATCTTGGTCCTGCCCTGGTCCCGTCCTGGTCCCGCCCTGGTCCTTCCCTGGTCCCGTCTTGGTCTCGTCCTGGTCCCGTCCTGGTCCCGTCCTGGTCCTTCCCTGGTCCCATCTTGGTCCCGCCCTGGTCCCGTCCTGGTCCCGCCCTAGTCCTGCCCTGGTCCCGTCTTGGTCCTGCCCTGGTCCTGCCTTGGTCCTGTCCTGGTCCCGCCCTGGTCCTTCCCTGGTCCCGTCTTGGTCCCATCCTGGTCCCGTCCTGGTCCCGTCCTGGTCCCGTCCTGGTCCCGCCCTGGTCCTTCCCTGGTCCCATCTTGGTCCCGTCCTGGTCCCGCCCTGGTCCTTCCCTGGTCCCGTCTTGGTCTCGTCCTGGTCCCGTCCTGGTCCCGTCCTGGTCCTTCCCTGGTCCCGTCTTGGTCCCGCCCTGGTCCCGTCCTGGTCTTGCCCTAGTCCTGCCCTGGTCCCGTCTTGGTCCTGCCCTGGTCCTGCCTTGGTCCTGTCCTGGTCCCGCCCTGGTCCTTCCCTGGTCCCATCTTGGTCCCATCCTGGTCCCGTCCTGGTCTCGTCCTGGTCCCGTCCTGGTCCCGCCCTGGTCCTTCCCTGGTCCCATCTTGGTCCCGTCCTGGTCCCGCCCTGGTCCTTCCCTGGTCCCGTCTTGGTCTCGTCCTGGTCCCGTCCTGGTCCCGTCCTGGTCCTTCTCTGGTCCCGTCTTGGTCCCGCCCTGGTCCCGTCCTGGTCCCGCCCTAGTCCTGCCCTGGTCCCGTCTTGGTCCTGCCCTGGTCCTGCCTTGGTCCTGTCCTGGTCCCGCCCTGGTCCTTCCCTGGTCCCGTCTTGGTCCCATCCTGGTCCCGTCCTGGTCTCGTCCTGGTCCCGTCCTGGTCCCGCCCTGGTCCTTCCCTGGTCCCATCTTGGTCCCGTCCTGGTCCCGCCCTGGTCCTTCCCTGGTCCCGTCTTGGTCTCGTCCTGGTCCCGTCCTGGTCCCGTCCTGGTCCTTCCCTGGTCCCGTCTTGGTCCCGCCCTGGTCCCGTCCTGGTCCCGCCCTAGTCCTGCCCTGGTCCCGTCTTGGTCCTGCCCTGGTCCTGCCTTGGTCCTGTCCTGGTCCCGCCCTGGTCCTTCCCTGGTCCCGTCTTGGTCCCATCCTGGTCCCGTCCTGGTCCCGCCCTGGTCCTTCCCTGGTCCCATCTTGGTCCCGTCCTGGTCCCGCCCTGGTCCTTTCCTGGTCCCGTCTTGGTCTCGTCCTGGTCCCGTCCTGGTCCCGTCCTGGTCCTTCCCTGGTCCCGTCTTGGTCCCGCCCTGGTCCCGTCCTGGTCCCGCCCTAGTCCTGCCCTGGTCCCGTCTTGGTCCTGCCCTGGTCCTGCCTTGGTCCTGTCCTGGTCCCGCCCTGGTCCTTCCCTGGTCCCGTCTTGGTCCCATCCTGGTCCCGTCCTGGTCCCGTCCTGGTCCCGTCCTGGTCCCGTCCTGGTCCCGTCCTGGTCCCGCCCTGGTCCTTCCCTGGTCCCATCTTGGTCCCGCCCTTGTCCCGTCCTCGTCCCGTCCTGGTCCCGTCCTGGTCCCGTCCTGGTCCCGTCCTAGTCCCGTCCTGGCCCCGTCCTGGTCCAGGTCCTGGTCCCGTCCTGGTCCAGGTCCTGGTCCCGTCCTGGTCCCGCCCTGGTCCTTCCCTGGTCCCATCTTGGTCCCGTCCTGGTCCCGTCCTGGTCCCGTCCTGGTGCAGGTCCTGGTCCCGTCCTGGTCCAGGTCCTGGTCCCGTCCTGGTCCCGGTCCTGGTCCCGTCCTGGTCCCATCTTGGTCCTGCCCTGGTCCCGTCCTGGTCCCGCCCTGGTCCTTCCCTGGTCCCGTCTTGGTCTCGTCCTGGTCCCGTCCTGGTCCCGTCCTGGTCCTTCCCTGGTCCCATCTTGGTCCCGCCCTGGTCCCGTCCTGGTCCCGCCCTAGTCCTGCCCTGGTCCCGTCTTGGTCCTGCCCTGGTCCTTCCCTGGTCCCGTCTTGGTCCCATCCTGGTCCCGTCCTGGTCCCGTCCTGGTCCCGTCCTGGTCCCGCCCTGGTCCTTCCCTGGTCCCATCTTGGTCCCGTCCTGGTCCCGCCCTGGTCCTTCCCTGGTCCCGTCTTGGTCTCGTCCTGGTCCCGTCCTGGTCCCGTCCTGGTCCTTCCCTGGTCCCGTCTTGGTCCCGCCCTGGTCCCGTCCTGGTCCCGCCCTAGTCCTGCCCTGGTCCCGTCTTGGTCCTGCCCTGGTCCTGCCTTGGTCCTGTCCTGGTCCCGCCCTGGTCCTTCCCTGGTCCCGTCTTGGTCCCATCCTGGTCCCGTCCTGGTCCCGTCCTGGTCCCGTCCTGGTCCCGCCCTGGTCCTTCCCTGGTCCCATCTTGGTCCCGTCCTGGTCCCGCCCTGGTCCTTCCCTGGTCCCGTCTTGGTCTCGTCCTGGTCCCGTCCTGGTCCCGTCCTGGTCCTTCCCTGGTCCCGTCTTGGTCCCGCCCTGGTCCCGTCCTGGTCCCGCCCTAGTCCTGCCCTGGTCCCGTCTTGGTCCTGCCCTGGTCCTGCCTTGGTCCTGTCCTGGTCCCGCCCTGGTCCTTCCCTGGTCCCGTCTTGGTCCCATCCTGGTCCCGTCCTGGTCCCGTCCTGGTCCCGTCCTGGTCCCGCCCTGGTCCTTCCCTGGTCCCATCTTGGTCCCGTCCTGGTCCCGTCCTGGTCCCGTCCTGGTCCCGTCCTGGTCCCGCCCTGGTCCTTCCCTGGTCCCATCTTGGTCCCGTCCTGGTCCCGTCCTCGTCCCGTCCTGGTTCTGCCCTGGTCCTGCCCTGGTCCCGCCCTGGTCCCGTCCTGGTCCCGTCCTGTGTCCTTTAAACCAGGCTACTCCTGATTTTGATTTTTGTAGATAAACCTTTTGTCTATTCTGCATTTTTGGGTCCGCCAGTTCTTAACCTAACAACAGCAGATTCACAATCGGGTCGTTGTGACGTACAGAAGGACAGAATTCTAGTAGAACGATCTTATTCCCTTAAAACTGAGAGTTACGAGTGTGTGAGATCGCTGCTGCCTCCGTCTCATTTCTCTTAAGTGCAAATAAACACAACATACAAGTCTGTTAATATGAAATAATCCATTGTTTTACTCCAGATACTGTATATTAACCTACGGACATTGGACTCTGCTCCTTTATGAACCAATGTCTCTGTGTTTTTATTATATTCATTTCATTTCATTTCATTTCATTTCATTTCATTTTATTTATTCTTTTTTCATGGTAATGCAACATACTATACAATTGGAACAAATCAACAAACACAACAATAATACATTCCATGAAAAGAAAAACAGGAGTAGGATGAAGAAAAAAAAATCTTATAAGCTCCTACCCCATTCTTTAAAAAAAAAAACATTACAAATTAGATGGCCACACCGATGCCAAAAGATAACAATAGCCCAGACCAGATGTAATCAACTTTCAATTTTAACAATATCATTGCATTTCCTGTCTTGATTCTCTGATCTGTTGTTGGTGAATTCGACGGTTTTGTACAAAGACCTCTGAGATAACTCCTGTTGTGATTTATGGCTACACAAGAATACGTTGAATTGAATGATATAATCCATTTCTAAAAGCCAAAGTGACAGAGTGTGGGGCCACCGCGGAGCCCCATTGTCCCCCCCAATCTCTGCATCTGAGAGATCTTTATGACATGCCTCTTGTGTCTGCTCTGGCATCCTTCCTCACACACAGTATTGTTGCCAAAGTTTCTAAATGACAATTACCTCTGACTTCCTCTGCTCGGACGGCAGAATGCAGCGCCCCTCCTCCTCCTGCAGCGGCTCCGAGCTCAGTCCTGATGCAGAGGCCCCTGAGTGGACGTGGCCTTTCTCACCTCTTGCACCTCGCACACCTTTGAAGTTCCACAAGTGTCAGTTTATGGTTCAAGGGGAAACAAGACGCCGCTGAAAAATCCACCACGATCGGCTCAGGGTGTAGCGCCTACGAGCTAACGACACGTGTGCTAACGACACGTGAGCTAACGACACGTGTGCTAACGACACGTGAGCTAACGACACGTGTTTCAAGTGGCTTCATTAGAGGAATTTGTTTGTTTGATTTCAACACCAACGATGAGAGTTTTAGCACTTTACCGGAGTTGCACCTGATGTATCTACAGATGTATGTACAGATGTATCTACAGATGTATCTACAGATGTATTTTCTTCTTGTACTAGAAAATACATACTTTGCTTATACTTTGCTTCTTTACAAAGAGAAAGAGTTGCACAGAGTCAGTTGTACAGAGTTCAGGTGCAACACTGACATTTCCCCCACTGTGGGACGAATAAAGAATCTCTGAATCTTAATCCTAAACGTTGTCGAAGTTAACCCTGTATAAACACAGTGAGTGCTGGAAGTAGTTTTGGAGGCCCTCTTTCAAACTACTGCAGCTTCCTGGAAGAACTTACAAGTGTATGGACTTTTATGTATGTTTTATAAATAACCAGAATTGAATTGGACTGACTTGATTATTCTCTTACTGCAGAAACGTCGGATTTTTTTATTGACAAATGAAACTGAGCTCTGCGATCCTGTCTCAGCTGAAGATGTATTTTATGGTTTTGTTGCATAGGCATAAAGGACACAGCCAGTTCTCTCAGTGCCCACATGGTTTTATACCCAGATAACACACAACAGTTCCCTTCACACCTGCCATGTCACCGATCGATAATCCCTTTTGTGCTTCAGAAACCAAGAAAACCATAGCATCAGTGATAGTTACTTCATGTTACTCCAGGGACAGAGCTTTTGCCATTGCCGCCCCAACCCTCTGGAACTCACTCCCACTGCTCATTAG